AGCGCGTAAATTCTTGGGTCTTTGGAAAAAGTTGAAAAAAGCCCAGCGGCCAAATTAATCCGAAGGGTCGCTTCGTTGCGATGAATGATGAGCTTCCAACCCCATGAAATGAATGGACGCCAGTAGCCACGCCCCCCTGGTGAAGATTATCACATGACGTCATTGAAGGCCAATCTCGTATGAATGGAATTTTCCCACGCGTATTTTCCTCCTTTCCCCGATGTTTCTTAGACATCCGAGATGTGAAAAGAAATCAGTTGCTGAAGATTAGGTCATCTTCTCATCCTTGAAGGTTTTCCTTTTGGCTTGATTATAGTTAGCATAGTTAGTATACTATAACATCACTATACTATGTTCTAATACTCTATATATTATATGGCATTCTGTACTATACTATGGTATGTTTTATTTATTTATTTATTTATTTTATTTCAAATTTATATACCGCACCTTCTCCCAAGGGACTCAGGGCGGTGTACAGCCAGATAAAAACATACAATACAAACATTAAAAACAATTAAAAGAATATATATTAATTTGGCCCCAGTTTAAAATGACAAATCAATTAAAAGTTAAAATTTAAAAATATGTTAAAGTGTATGCTGTAATATGCACTACTATATAGTCTATATAGTAGACTATTAGTACTGCATATTATATAGCTAGTGTGTAGCATATAGCAGGGGTCTCCAACCTTGGCAACTTTAAGCCTGGCGGACTTCAAGTCCCAGAATTCCCCAGCCAGCACGGATTTCAACTCCCAGAATTCCCCAGCCTTTGCTGGCTGGGGAATTCTGGGACTTGAAGTCCGCCAGGCTTAAAGTTGCCAAGGTTGGAGACCCCTGGCATATATATCTCTAGCATCTACCTAATATAGACTATATTATTACTGCGTATTATATAGCTAGTATGTAGCATATAGTATACCTATGATCGTATCTATTTAATACATAGATATATGACTATATACTACATATTAGCTATATAATATAGTTATATTAATGTGGTATACTATGTAGTATATTTATATTACTATATGGATCATATGGATATTAGTATATTATTTATTTATTTATTTTTTATACCACCCTTCTCCCGAAGGACTCAGGGCGGTGAACAGTTAAAATAACGTACATATAAAATGTGAATATAAGATGATTAAGCCAATTTGGTTCATCGGTTAAGAATTTTCAGCATAAGGAGCCTGAGTGACGTAGGAGGCTAATGCCTCCTACTAAGGCAGCATTTAACATCCAGCTGCCTGCAATTACTGCGAGTTCAATTCTCACCAGGCTCAAGGTCGACTCAGCCTTCCATCCTTTCTAAGGTGGGTAAAATGAGGACCCGGTTTGTGGGGGCAATAAGCTGACTTTGTATAAAAAAATATACAAAAGTATGAAGGCTATTGCTTAATGCATTGTAAGCCGCCCTGAGTCTCCGGAGAAGGGCGGCATATAAAAATACATAAATAAAAATAAATAAATAATAAATAAAGATTTAGAACAATTAGAAGAGATTTATGCTAGCCCGGCTTGGTGAAATAGAAAGGTCTTAAGTGCACGACGGAAAGTACGAAGATCTGGGATCATTCGTATCCCTGGGGGTAACCTGTTCCAAAGGGTAGATGCCCCCACAAAAAAATGCTCTTTCTTACTCTATTAGTACCCTGCCAAGAGAACAAGCTGGCTATTCAAAAGTCCGAAAGGATTGTAGTGGCTTGGCAGTGCCTTATCCCTGCAGCCTTTTCTGTTCCTTATTTTTGTTTTAAACCAGGATTGTTTAGCTATGTTGTTAGCCTACGATCTGACATACGTGTGAAACTGCACGGTGTCAAATGTGTTTAATAGTCCTTCGTTTCCAAGTCGGGCAGAGGGCCGCCCTATATTCCCTTCCTCTGACTGCATAAAACAAGCGGAGGGGGTAGGCACCAGCCAACGAGAACGTTTAAACAAAATTATTTTTCTCACGAGATTTTTTATTTTATTTTATTTTTTGCTTTTAGGAAACATTACGTTAAAGGGACTGTGATTTCTTTTTTCCTTTAATTGACATCGAAAGTTAAGCTCTTAACTGACTGGGAATAAATGGAATCGTGATTTATTCGGAGTAATTGGGCTATTAATTAATTATTTTTAAATGTTAAATTAAATTAAGAGACTTTTTAATTGTTGCACTTTTATCCTTGATCCTGGAAAAAAACGAACGCGGTAAACAACGAAAAAGTCGCGTTTCCGTAAAATCTCCTTCAAAATCCCCGCAGCGAGCGCGCGGCAGATTTAAATTCAGCACGTGATTGGCTGAGAACGACCACCAATCAAAACCAAGGGAGCAGTGTATAAATAGCGCGGCCGGTGGCGGTTTCTTTTCAATTCTTCTCTTTGCGGCGTGCGGAGCGTTGGTCCCTCTTCTGTCTTCGCATCGAGATGGCTCGTACCAAGCAGACCGCTCGCAAGTCCACCGGCGGGAAGGCGCCCCGCAAGCAGCTGGCCACCAAGGCGGCGAGGAAGAGCGCTCCGGCTACCGGCGGCGTGAAGAAGCCTCACCGCTACCGCCCCGGCACCGTCGCCCTGAGGGAGATCCGCCGCTACCAGAAGTCGACGGAGCTGCTGATCCGCAAGCTGCCCTTCCAGCGCTTGGTGCGCGAGATCGCGCAGGACTTCAAGACCGACCTCCGCTTCCAGAGCTCGGCCGTGATGGCGCTGCAGGAGGCGAGCGAGGCTTACCTGGTGGGGCTCTTCGAGGACACCAACCTGTGCGCCATCCACGCCAAGCGCGTCACCATCATGCCCAAGGACATCCAGCTGGCCCGCCGCATCCGCGGAGAGCGGGCGTAAAGAACGCGTTTCGTTTTTATTTTAAAAAAAGGCTCTTTTAAGAGCCATCAAACAGTCCTAAAGAGTGCTGGAAACTACCCCCCAAAACTAAGTTGAGAATGGTTATGTGCGTTTTCCTCACCACGTAACCCCGTCACTTGCTTTTCTAAAAGTAATAAAATTGTTCATTTAAAAAAAAATTGCAGGAACCCATTTTAACCTCAAATTTAACTTTTTACTCTTCTAAAGGCGAGGCCTTACCACCCTCTGCCCACCCACCCCATATGATTTTAAGCAGGTAACGGTTGGAAGAGCTTGGGGGATCTAGTCCCAACTCATTTAGAAGACATATATATAATATAGGGATTCGAACTGCCGACTTTTCTGATTTGGCAAGGTCGATGTCTTTAAGGCTTAAGCCAGTGAGCTGTCTAGCGAGGCTAATAATCTTTTCACTTCTCGTGATTAAATGTCGAAAAACCCCATTTTCTCCCTCAAGTGTTGTACCTTACGATTCTTGTACGTATCTTTTATTTTTATGTACAGTGAGAGCATATGCACAAAGTTCCTTGTGTGTCCAATCACACTTGGCCAATACAAAATTCCTATTCTATTCGCTAATTCCAGAGTTAACTATACTTCATACCAAGAAATACTTTTTCTACTATGGCGTAAGTCCTTTAAATATTTGGTGACAATAAATAAATTTATACATAACTTGCTTCTAAGCAACACTCGCAGGATAGCTTATAAAGCGCTTGCAGCCCTTTCAGAAGGAAGTGAGCGGCTCTTAAAAGAGCCTTTGGGGGGAGGTTGGCGGGTTAAGTTTTCCCTGCGGTCCGGTGAGTCTATTTGGAGCTGGTGTACTTGGTGACAGCTTTGGTCCCCTCGGAGACGGCGTGTTTAGCCAACTCGCCGGGCAGCAGGAGGCGGACGGCCGTCTGGATCTCCCGAGAGGTGATGGTGGAGCGCTTGTTGTAGTGAGCCAGGCGGGAAGCCTCGGCCGCGATGCGCTCGAAGATGTCGTTGACGAAGGAGTTCATGATGCTCATGGCCTTGGAGGAGATACCGGTGTCGGGGTGGACCTGCTTCAGCACCTTGTAGACGTAGATGGAGTAACTCTCCTTTCGGGTCTTCCTGCGCTTCTTGTCGCCCTTCTTCTGCGTCTTGGTGATGGCCTTCTTCGACCCCTTCTTGGGCACCGGCGCTGACTTCGCGGGCTCAGGCATCTTGACACGCACTCTACCAATCGGGATATCGCACTGATGGCCGCTAGTCCCGTACGCTCGTATTTATAAGAGCTGTATGCAAATGAGGTCTTCGGAGGTCTGCTTGACGATTGGCTGCGGGAGGAATGTGGCGCGCGACGTTTTTTTTTTTTCTTTCAAATGCTGGGTTTTCTATGGGCTAAGAAAGAAACGTTCCTATTGGCTGGGCTGTGGAGAGTCGCACTCGCATTGGTTAGTGGGAATTTAAACGCCTATCCAATGAATACTTGCCAATTTGAACTCCACCGAAGATAGGACTGATAGAAAAAACAATGCTGAGCTGAAATACACTGAAATATGAGCTCGAAATATACTGAAATATGAGCTCGAAATATGAGCTTGGAAACGGGGTTTCCAAACTTGGCAACTTTTAAGACTTGAGGACTTCACCTCCCAAAATTCCTCAGGAAGAATATATTATTATATTCTTCCTGAGATAATAAAATATTAATTTTTAACAATATTAATTTTAATTAATATTAACATTAATTTTATTTGTTTCAGACATGGGAAATTCTTGAGAAAGAATTTATGGTTAAGGTTGTCTCAAAGAGGCTTTTTCAAAAGGCAACTGGACTGGTGCTTTTTTTTTTTTTCCCTGAGGAAGAGCAGAAAAAGGGGAAAAAATAGTCCAAGTTGCCTTTTGAAAAAGCAACTAATCTGGGATGATTGAGAATCTCCATAGATAGGTTTGAGGTTATGTTCTCTAATTTCCTCCCCTTTCTTTTTAATTTTTTTAAACTGAAATTTTAATTTGTTTTAAATTATGGGGTTTTTTAATTGTCTTGGGCTAAATTGTTTAATTTGGTTTTAAATTGTTTCTAACTTTTGTATTTATGTATTTTATTCTGTGCCTGTTCACCGCCCTGAGTCCTTCGGAAGTAGGGCGGTATATACATTTAATAAAACATAAAACAAACATAAAACATATTTAAAAGTGTTGATTCAGTCACATTTTTCTTTGTCCATTTTTTGTTGTTGAATTCCCTTCAGCTTGACTCTTATCTATTCGTAGATAAATGAACGGTTACATGGCTACAGGTAGTCCTCGACTTATGACATAATTGAGCCCAAAATTTATGTTGCTAAGGGAGACATTTTGGTGAAGTGAGTTTTGTCCCACAACCTTTCTTGCCACAGTTGTTAAGGGAATTATGGCAGCCATTAAGTTTGTCACACGCTTCCCTGTTAACCGCTTGTCAGAAGGTCGCGAGAGTGGACACTGCAACCGTCATAAATACGAACCAGTTGCCAAGCAAATGAATTTGGATCACGTGACATTGGGGATGCTGCATTGGTCATGTAGGAAGTTAGCACCCATCCCTCTCCTAGAAAAATGAAATGTTTTAGGAAATATTAAAAGGGCAGAATATTTCCCCGTAAAAGGGAGGCAGAAACTCAGTCCCCCACTGGGCTTTGTCAATGGGCCAGTCTATTCTACATAACAAAGATCTACCTCCTTCAGGCAGAGCCATAGTAGGAATTGCCCAAAGGCATCATCACCCAGCAAGAGTCAACCAAGCCTGGGACACAGACAACCTACAAAGTTACCCCTGCATGACCCCCATGGGAATCTGACAACCAATCAGAATACATGCTCAAATTCAAAAGCCCAGAGAGAGCATAAAACCCAGGCACTCTCAGCATCTCTTCCCCTTTTTTTTTCTCTTCGCCCAAGATCTTCAAGGCACGTGATCCTGTTCCACCATTAAAAACCATCTTTCCAAACAGCCACCATGTTTCCAGCGTCTTTCTGGAACTACTGAACCCAGATGGATATTTCTCCAAACAGTCATAAGTCTGAAAAAAATGGTCATTTTTCAGTACCGTTGTAACTTTAAAGGGTCACTAAATGAACTGTTGTAAGTTGAGGATTACCTGTACACTCAAGATCATCGAGCAGGACATGGGGGGGGGTGCCTTTGCTGAGGCTTCCCCCACCGCACCCCCCCTTGAGATCAAGGACTTCTCATCCTTCCTGCTTTGGACATATGGTAGTTCCCATAAACACAGAAAAGGGCGAGGCTGGAGCCCAGCAGGAAAAGGAGACCAATAGGATTTATTTGAGCAACATAAAAGTGCTTGGGGTTTTGCATCCCTCTGTAGGAAGAAATATCCTTCTGGGTTCAGCTCCAAGTGGGGAAAAAGACACTGGAAACATGGAGACTGCTTGGAAAGATGGTTTAATGGTGGACACGGTTTGAGTTCCTGCACAGAAAAAGGGGCGAGATGCAGCGAGTTCCTGGGTTTTATGCCCTCTTTGAGCTCTGAACTTCCTGGGGCAAAGGAAGAATATCCTGATTGGTTGTCAGACTCCCGGGGGAGGGGGGGTCTTAGCTAGCCTTGCTGCCTGTTGTAATCTTCCCAGGTGCCATGTGGTGAGTTTCTGTTGCTAGATGGGTCCTATTGTGTTAGTTTCTGTTGCTAGATGGGTCCTATTGTGTTGCAGATGATGGTCCATTGACAAAGACTGAGTTTCTGCCTCTGGCCCATTGACAAAGAGTGGGGGCAGGAAGATGGGAGCTGCTTCGTCTTTAAAACATGCTTCTCCATTTCTCATCCAGGGAAACATAATATTCTGCCTTTCTAATATTTCCCAAAATATTTCATTCCTCTAGGAAAGGGGTGGGTGCTAACTTCCTACACCGCAAAGCTTCAGCCTGAAGAATTGGGAACAAGAAAGCAATGTTTGTAGCCCTGGACATTAAAATGTCAGAGATGCATGAAAGCAGGTGGAGTTTACCTGGGTCTTTGGTTTACTCGGAGAGTTTCAACAATTAAGAAATTGACAGACACATAAATATAAGCAATGTTTACATACAGACACCCAAAAAGGAAACAAAAATACCAAAACACCACCCTCAGCAGCAATCATCAACACCCCAGATGAGCAAAGACGAACACCAGGATCCAGAACATATCAACATTGAAGCAGTAAACAATATAATTGTTGGAAGAAACATCCTTTCTGGGTTCAGTTCCAAGTGGGGAAAAAGACACTGGATTCGTGGAAGTTGCTTGGAAAGAAGGTTTATTGATGAACAGGATCACATGCCTTGGAGATCTTGGGCGGAAAAAGGGAAGAGATGCTGAGAGTCCCTGGGTTTTCTACCCTCTCTGACTTTGAATTTCCTGGGGCACAGGAAGCGTATCCTGATTGGTTGCTGTCAGAGATCATGGCTAGCTTTGTGTTGTGGCTCCGTTGCCTGAGCCTGGGCTATCGACAGATGCAGACTCCGAGAGTGAGGGAGAGGAGTTGGCAAGGCCTCCCTCTCCAGGACCCTCCTCTCTGGCAATGCCTCCGGAGGACACCGAAGGCCAAGGTATAGGCCCGGAGCCAAGCACGTCCCCGCAGCCACAAGTGGACAGCGACGAAGGAGATAAGTTTCTCCATATTAAGTTTCATTTTGTTGGATAGGGCCCATTGTTCAAGTCTGTCCAGATCTTTTTGGATCCCGAGTTTGTCTTCTGGGGGGTGGTTGGCTATTCCTACCAGTTTGGTGTCATCTGCAGATTTGATGAGTTCCCCTTCTATTCCCCCATCTAAGTCGTTTATGAAGATATTGAAGAGTCCTGGGCCGAAAACTTGTGGTACCCCACTGCTTACTTCCCTCCACGTGGATGTAGTTAGTACCGTTAAGTATGAGTAAGATTCGTCAGCCAGTTACAAATCTATCTGGCGGTGATGCTGTGTATCCCACATCTTAGTCCCACTTTAGGCATGATGGTGAGTTCTAGTCTTCCCTTAGGCATGAGAGCTGGCTGGGTGAGTTTGGGCCAATCGTTCTCTCTCTCTCAGTCCACCTCGCAGGGTTGTTGTGTGGAAAATAGAAGGAGAAACGGTTATTATATCCATCCACCTCTTTTGAGTATCTTCTAAAGTAGTAAAGGCAGGATTTAAAAAAAAAATCTAATAAACCAAATCGATAAAAATATAACAAACTGGCAATATCGATAGTAAGCTACCCTGTGCAGAAATATACAATTTATATAATTTGATCCAAGCATTCCTGAAAGCATCGTCATCTCCTCCTCCGGAGGAATGTGCTGGGTTCCAAGGTGCCTGTGGCAAGGAGGGAAATCTTTGAAGCTGCTATCCAAGATTGTAAAACTATCCCCATCAACATCTCTTTGAGAATAAAATGGGAGCCTGGACTAAGGGCTGTGAAAATATTTACAGACCCCTCGCATCCTGGACATAAATTGTGTCAACTCCTACCCTCAAAACGACACTATAGGGCACTGCACACCAGAACAACTAGCTAGACACGAGGACAGTTTTTTCCCCGAACGCCATCACTCCGCTAGACAAATAATTCCCTCAAAAATGTCAAACTATTCACTAAGTCTGCACTACTATTACTATTAATCTTCTCATCGTTCCTATCATCCATCTCCTCCCACTTATGACTGTAACTTTGTTGCTGGTATCCTTACGATTTATATTGACTGTTTCCTAGTCTGATTTGATTGCTTATTTGTACCTTATGACTATCATTAAGTGTTGTACCTTATGATTCTTCACGAATGTATCTTTTATGTACACTGAGAGCATATGCACCAGAGACAAATTCCTTCTGTGCCCAATCACACTTGGCCAATAAAGAATATTCTATTCTATTCTATTCTATTCTATTCTATTCTATTCTATTCTATTCTATTCTATTCTATTCTAATGATTCTTGATGAATGTATCTTGTCTTTTTATGTACACTGAAAGCATATGCACCATAGACAAAATCCTTGTGTGTCCAATCACACTTGGCCAATAAAAAGAATTCTATTCTATTCTATTCTATTCTATTCTATTCTATTCTATTCTATTCTATTCTATTCTATTCTATCTTATCCTATCCTATCCTATCCTATCCTATCCTATCCTAACCTATTCAGGAAGGGGTTGGATTCCAAGGTGCCTTCCAACTCTGTTGTTCTATTGTATTCTATTGTATTGTGTGCCTGTTCACCGCCCTGAGTCCTTCGGGAGTAGGGCGGTATACAAATTTGATCAAATAAATAAATAAAATAAATATTGTATTGTATTCTATTCTATTCTAATGATTCTTGATGAATGTATCTTGTCTTTTTATGTACACTGAGAGCATATGTACCATAGACAAATTCCTTGTGTGTCCAATCACACTTCGGCAATAAATAATTCTATTCTATTCTATTCTATTCTATTCTATTCTATTCTATTCTATATCCAGATTCTTAATCTGGTGCAATGATGGCGTTTAAGAGAGGGGTGCTCTCCTAACTATCTAATTCAATCTAGAGCAAGGTTACAAGAGCAGAAAGAATTTATCACAAATGCAACAATCCAAGCTTTATTTATCTGGAGAGAACTGGAACATACATACCTAACATACCTTCTCCTATTTATCCCCTTGATTTAGCCCAGGGGGTCAGCAACCTCTGCTGCGGCTCCCTGTCATTCAAAATTTGCGTCACAACCGCCGATGTGCGACACCCGCTGGCACGCGATTTATTGAGCTTTTCAATCCCCAGTAGGCCAACCATGGATAAATCCAAGAAAAGGAAAGTTTCAGAACAAAACAAAACATTTAATTCAACTATATATGCTAGTTTTGTGACCGCTCAAGAAATAGTCAGGCACCGGAAGGGTTTTGTGGCTCCCGGTGTTTTCTTTTCTGTGGGAAACGGGTCCTAAATGTTGTGAATTAATTAGATCAACACAACTTTTCTAGGTTAGTCAGAGACAGTATATTGCGCAATAGGTTCAGAGCCAGTTTTACATGAAGCTGTGAACAAAGACAGAACTTAGTTACAATGGTTTTATACCCTTGTAAGACAAAGGATTCTGCTAACACAGCAGTTTATGTGGTCATATACATTTGTTATATTTAATTGACATTTCCTAATTACTAAGTTTTACATTATCTTTGCCAAACAGTCATAATTCTTCTGGTAAATCACTGAAGCATAGATTCAAATTATCTCTTGTTGATATTTCATGTGGTCATTCTTGGCCTCTTTAACCTTCAAACTGTATATCACCAAATGTCTCTATCTCTGACAACTGAGGGGCCCCTCTTATAGAATGTTTCTACTTCAAAGGAATTTCTCATCATCTTTGTACTGTTTCAACTGGACATAGTTAGTTGCCTCTTTCAAACAGGTACATCCTCCTTCCCACAATACCATGAACAAAGAGGGCCCTTCAGTGATCATCTAGCTGGACCCGCATTACCTACATTAAAATGGCTCTTTGAGTGTTTAAGGTTGCAGACCCCTGATTTAGCCAAAAGTCTACGCTTTTTAGTTTGGCCAAAGGGCTGTGGGAAGCCCCCCCCCCACTCCTTAAAGAATGAAATATTTTGGGAAATATTAACAAGGCAGACTATTATATTTCCCCTGGAGAAACCTGCTCTTAAAAGACAGGAAGCAGACCTCAGTCTTTCTTAATAGCCCCCCATCCCCCACCCCCCAGCAGATATTTTGACCTTCACCTCCAGCGATGGGATTAAAAATGTACATTCTCGTGTTGAAATGGATAGGTTAACCAAAGAAATACAGGAAAGAGAAGAATCAGATTATTACAAAATATGGAATAATTGGTATAATTGGTTAAAAATGAGAAATAAGCAAAAAATATAGGGGGGAAATATTACCGATTTTTTTAAAAAATGTTATTAGATTAAGGAGAGGTGAAGAAATCTATTATAAGTAGAATTGTAGAATGTCACTTTGAAAAAATGCTTAAGAAGAAAACAAAATCTTTTTGTGTATAGGTTGTATAAATGTTTGTTGTGTATATGTTATGTTATGTTTTTTTTAATATTTATACTCAAATAAAAATTTATTTTTTAAAAAAATATGTACGTTCTCCTCCACCACCCAAATTCTAAAAACAGGACATGACCATTTCAGGAATATAATAAGATTAACCCATTAACATTTAGCAGAAGACACAGAGCATAACTTCCTAAGGGCATTTTCAGACGTTGCACTGAACCAGATGGATTTTTCTTCCAACCGGGCAAAAAAAAACCCGTCTTATTGTTGCAGGGGGATTGAATAGAGATGATCCTGCATTTTAATAGAATTCTCCATTTGTTTCCAAGCTTTTAAGCTTTCCAAGCAAAAAAAGCCGACTGGAGATGCCGGGGATCGAACCCGGGGCCTCATACATGCAAAGCATGCGCTCTACCACTGAGCTACATCCCCTCCCCGGCGAATCCTCTTCGAATAGGCATAGAAAAGGCGCCGATTTCCCCAGGACCAAAAAAAAAACCCAAATGAAATTAAACCCACTATGAATTATAAATCCGAACATCTCATCCTAGCTACAACATATAAATTAAAAGGAATCTTAAGAGATCTCCTAGTCCAATCCCCTGCTCCCAAGACTTTATATACAACATTCGAAGAAATCAAGAGGCGTATTGGAAGATCACAATATAAAGTACAAAGGAAAGCATAATTTGACTTAAAATTTTCATTGGCTTTTTAAGTTTCATTCGCTCCCTTTGGGAAATTAGCGGCGAATTTTTAAACAACCTTCGCCAAGGAAGAATATAGCTTTGGTAAATGCAACGCTCTGCTTCTCGCCCTTTGCATCGGACGCTCAGCTCTTTTCTGGAAAACTGGAGCGGCCCTGAAAAGGGCCTTTTCCGTTCTTTTCTTCCGTTCCGATCCGATTTCCCCACAAAAATTAGCCGCCGAAGCCGTAGAGAGTCCGGCCTTGGCGCTTCAGGGCGTAGACCACATCCATGGCCGTGACCGTTTTCCTCTTGGCGTGCTCGGTGTAAGTCACCGCGTCGCGGATCACGTTCTCCAGAAAGACCTTCAGGACGCCCCGCGTTTCCTCGTAGATGAGCCCCGAAATCCGCTTGACGCCCCCGCGCCGAGCCAGCCGGCGGATGGCGGGCTTCGTAATCCCCTGGATGTTATCCCGGAGGACTTTCCTGTGCCTCTTGGCGCCTCCTTTGCCCAAGCCTTTCCCGCCTTTACCTCGCCCAGACATGCTTCGGAGTCACGGGAAACAACCGAACTGTCAAAGCGAACGGGGAAACGGGCTCATATATACCACCGAATCGGACCAGAGGGAAAACTAAACTGGCAGCTCTTTCTTTTTTTTTTTCCCGCCTTTTCCGCGTTGCCTGTAAAAATAGCCTCACAGGATAATTGAAACGCCTTTAGAAGGAAGCGAAGATGGTTCAAAGTATGAGAGACCTCAGCATTTCTAACCCACATAGATTTTATTGGCTTTTACAATTTATATCCTTTATTAAGGTCACTGAAAATTTCATAAGGAACAAAGAAGAGAATATTCCCTGGAGTTAAGCTCAAGCTCTTAAGCGAATTCTTGGCCAATGCAAAAAGCAATTTGCCATTGATTTCTGAGAGGTTTTTACAATTCAACCGGCATTTCCTTGTATATATCCCTGTACTAAGCAAGTCTGATTTGCTTAGCTTTTTAAGCTGTTTGGCATGGAACTGATAATAATAACTTCATCCCTGAATTTGAGACAGATACTTTTTACCTTTTGCAAAGGGTTTTTTTTTTTTGTTGTTGTTCTTTGGCCTTCCTGGAAATCCAAATCACCAAGTAATTCAGACAAAGCAAAAAGCATTTATTAAGGGGAGTCAAAGTCTTTTTTATGGGGGACAAAAATAAATGATACGTTTATGTAATGTGTCAGAAAGCAAGTGATGAATCAGCATGAATTATAGATTAACAGTTGGAAGGGACCTTAGAGGTCATCTAGTCCAACCCCCTGCTCAGCAGGAGACCTTACAACATTTCTGACAAATAGCAGTCCAATCTCATCTTGAAAGCCTCCAGTGATGAAACTCCCACAACTTCCGAAGGCAACTTCTGTTCCGTGGGTTGATTGTTCTCACTGTCAGAAAATTCCTCCTTATTTCTAGGTTGAATCTCTCCTTGATCAGCTTCCATGATTCCTTGTCTGGCCTTTGGGTGCTTTGGAAAATAGCTTGACCCCCTTCCTCTCTGTGGCAGCCCCTCAACTATTGGAAGATGCTCTCCTGTCTCCCCTGGTCCTTCTCTTCACTAGACTAGCCATGTCCAGTTCCTGCAACCATTCATCGTATGTTTTAGCCTCCGGTCCCCTCATCATCCTGGTTGCTCTTCTCCGCACTCTTTCTAGAGTCTCAACATCTTTTTTATAGTGCAGTGACCAAAACAGAATGCAGTACTCTAGGTGTGGTCTTACTAAGGCTCTGTAGAGTGGTATTAGTACCTCCCTTGATCTTGATTCTATCCCTGTTAATGCAGTTTAGGATTGCGTTGGCGCTAGAATTCTATTTGCTAAAAACTGGAAAAATGAGAAAATACCAACGGAAGATGAAATTATTAAGAAAAGCATGGAATGTGCTGAAATGAGTAAATTGACATTTGAAATTAGAGAACAAGAAGATAAACAATATTACAAGATATGGGACTTACTTTATCGATGGTTCGATCACAAAACATGGAAATGAAATATGAAATATGAATGGTATCAATATCATATTAGAAAATAAACTTTTTGAAGCAACAATGCAATAGTTAAATAAATGATAAATGAGGATGTTGATTTGTTTGACAATATGAGAAACTAGATCATTAGTAAATTTTGAACAGGAGGATGCTGCACAAAAGATTTGTAACCGACTGACACGCTGTTTGTATTTGTAATGGATGATGGATTTGTTTTATGTTTTGTTTTAAAAATAAAATTTTTCAAGGAAAAAAAAAGAAGGAAAAAAAAAGGATTGCATTGGCTTTTTTGGCTGCTGTTGCACATTACTGGCTCATATTTAGTTAGTTGTCCACTAAGACTCCAAGATCCCTCTCACAATCATAAGACATTTATTATATTGAACTAATAGAAAACATGGGTTTTCTATTAGTTCAATAGATAACATTCCACAAGTGGCAGATTTATGGGTTTCATTAATCTTTCCCAGCTGGGCTTGAATCTTCCTTAAAGCATGCAAAGATTTTAGGAATAGGCTCTATATTGTTTAGTGCTGAAAAAGAGAAGTTTTCACATACCAAAAGAAATGGCCTTGACTAAGAAGAAAAATACATGTTTTCCTCAAGATAGAAAAGAGGCCTAGGCTTCCATATTAAAAATGCTAATAACACTTTTCAAAATGCTAATAACACTTTTCAAAGTGCTAAAATTCCAGCACTAACAATATACGGTGACAAAATGTCACAAATAAGTCTTGGATTTACACTATATGCTTAAGCAAGGTGAGGCAACTGTACTTTCTAATATTTTTATATTTTGTTTTTATAATATACTAAGCAAAACAGAGTTGCCTTAAATAGTACAATGGGCAGCATATAAATTTAATAAATAAAATGAGCTAGCTTGGTATTGTCAGAAGAATAATCCAGGGTTGCACAAGAATAAGTGAGATCCAAAGAGCTGTGAGGAATATTTATTATTCCTAAAAGCAAAATAGCTTGCCTTTAGGGGCAGGCTGCAGAAAAATGGGGTGCAGTGGCAAAACTTTTATAGAAGCTTGTTGGGAATATGGAAGTGTCTATCTGTTGAGTATGTGTGTATATTGTGAACATACAGTTCTACTGGGAGTCTTAATTTCATTACCTTTATTTGTGTTTGCAGACCTTATCTTTTGATATGCGGATTAGGTTTGAGGAAGTTTGGTGATTTGATTAACTGGGAGACACCGATTCTCAGACACAATTCTTTTAATATTTTAAGGGAAGATGAAAATCATAAGGAATAAATATATTTTGGATATAAAACTTCAGTTATGGATGTCCTAGACCTAGAGTAAACCAGCGTTTTTTAATTTTGGTAATTTTAAAGATGCGTGGACTTCAACTCCCAGAATCCCCCAGCCAGCCATGTTGGAAGTTGGAAGTCCAACCATCTTAAAATTGCCAAGGTGGGAAAACACCCCTAGTTTCTAGTTTATTCTAGAGCAAAACTCTAGAAATGCTTACTCACAAGTAAACCCCTTTCTGACCTGCTCAGTTTCCAGCTGCAGGCATTACAGAATTTAATAAAATGTTTGCCTAATTTGAAGGATGCTCATTGTGGGGTAAAGAGAGGTTAACTGTAAATTTTAGTAGCACAGCTCATGTTGCCACAGAGTGCATTACACTATAACATCCAGCTGCCTGCAATTACTGCGAGTTCAATTCTCACCAGGCTCAAGGTCGACTCAGCCTTCCATCCTTTCTAAGGTGGGTAAAATGAGGACCCGGTTTGTGGGGGCAATAAGCTGACTTAGTATAAAATATACAAAAAGTATGAAGGCTATTGCTTAACGCCTTGTAAGCCGCCCTGAGTCTCCGGAGAAGGGCGGCATATAAAAATAAATAAAGAAGAAGCTTTAACAGAATTCAATGTTCTCCAAACACTAAATTTGCACCTTGTCACTTTCATGTAGCATGTTTTTAAAACGGTGCAAAAATAGGATATAATTCTCACAACGCAATGGAAGAATTGGATGGAAAAAAAACCTGATCGGAGTTAGCAAAAACAAGCCATATCGACCACTAAAAAGTTCATGTTTTTTTTTTCCCCATTACATCACACTTCTTTCCTCCTTCCTTCCCATTTCCCCGTTACGTGCATATTCATATTTTGTATTTAAATTTTAATTAAAATAATGCAGCGATACAATCTGGGTAGGACTCATTGCTGGAGCCCCATCCTCAGGGAACTTCTCTCAAGCAAAAAAGTCTGTAGAAATTCTCAGCCATCCGGGGTCACATTTTTGTCCCAAAAATGCTTTTTCAGGAAGCAACTGGACTTCCCTTGTTTTTTTCTTTTGAAGATGTTTCACTTCTCATCCAAGAAGCTTCTTCAGCTCTGACAGGACAGGACATACATCCTTCCATTCCCCACTATCCTGTCAGAGATGTAGCTTCTTGGTTTTTCCCCCCCTCAATTTTTTCATTTTTTATCAAAATATCCAAATCAATGCTTGAACAGTGTGGCATCTTAGTGTCATACATTCTAATTCAAATAAAGCTAATCAAGTTAATCATAATCCTTCCATTCAATCCACTTACATATTTCTAATAGTGCATACTTCTATTTTAGTCTATCATTATTTTGTCGGGCCCTTAAAACCTATTTTTTTCAGTTAGCCGGGCTGTCCTGATTTTATGGTTGGTTTTAAAATTTGATATTGATTTTAATTGAAATGTTTTAAATTATGGGCCAAATTTAATTTAATTATTTTTAAATCTCTTTTAACTTTTGTGTATGAATGTTTTATATTTGGCTGTTCACCGCCCTGAGTCCGAAAGGAGAAGGGTGGTATAGAAATCTGAAAAAAAAAATTGTTCAATTATTCCATATTTTCTCATCACTTTCATTTTGCGATAGAAAAAGTCTAGACTAATATTCCTTTTCTTGTTTCTATCACTTATTCTAAGCTTTTGATCATTATCACCCTTTAATAAAGAAAAAAAACTTTCTTTGTCTAACTTCTAATCATGTCACCTACTTAAGGAGGAAAAAGAGCAAGAGAGAAAAAGTAACTGGTAACAAAAAAAAAACATCCCTCTATCATCTTCTTGGAATCTAAACGCCTTCAAAAGAAAACAGGTCGAGTTTTCTCTAGCAACGCATCCACACTAATAACGGTGTTTTAAAAAAAATGATCCTAGAAAAATCAATGCACAATTCCTGTTAAGGAGTTAAATCAACGTTTGGAGAAATGCAGGCAGGCACAAAAATCCACACACAATCCCAGTGTATTGCAGTTTGCAAATTTTACTTTCCTTTACAAATCAGAAACCCTCAATATACTTTTTCCTTCATCTTAAATTTTGGGGTGGAGGGGAGGGACTCATAAACGAAGCAATAAACAGCCCCGAAAAACGACCTCAGCCTTTTCAGAAGGAAGTGAGCGGCTCTTAAAAGAGCCTTTGGGGGAGTTGGCGGGTTAAGTTTTCCCTGCGGTCCGGTGCGTCTACTTGGAGCTGGTGTACTTGGTGACGGCTTTGGTCCCTTCGGAGACGGCGTGCTTGGCCAGCTCGCCGGGCAGCAGGAGGCGGACGGCCGTCTGGATCTCCCGAGAGGTGATGGTAGAGCGCTTGTTGTAGTGAGCCAGGCGGGAAGCCTCGGCCGCGATGCGCTCGAAGATGTCGTTGACGAAGGAGTTCATGATGCTCATGGCCTTGGAGGAGATGCCGGTGTCGGGGTGGACCTGCTTCAGCACCTTGTAAACGTAGATGGAGTAGCTCTCCTTGCGGCTCTTCCTGCGCTTCTTGTCGCCCTTCTTCTGCGTCTTGGTGATGGCCTTCTTCGACCCCTTCTTGGGCACCGGCGCTGACTTCGCTGGCTCAGGCATCTTCGCTCTTTCCCTTACGACAGGAGGCAGCAAACTGACGAACTTCGTCCTCCCGCTTCCCTTTTATAAGCAGCCGTATGCTAATGAAGGCGCTCCGCTCGTCAAGCTCCCGTTGGTGCGTACAGTTTGGGCGGGAAAGTGGGAACGCCAATCAGAACGGCCGACGCGTTGGGTTTTTTTTTCCGCTGTTGGATAAGGCAAACAATGGCTTTGGTTTGGGTTTGAACGCGCGCCGGGAGCTGTTTTCTGATTGGTTCCCGCGAAGGCTTCTTCTCTCTCATTGGTCTATTTTTGAAGCTACGAATTGCAAAGGTGAATTGTCGTGATTTTGCAAAGCAATACATTGGATTAGCAATCTAACTGAAATGAGGAAAATTGGGAGCTGTATTAATAGTTTTCGGATAATTTTTGGCCGGTTTGCACCTTACCTCAGCAGTGTCTACGGAGTCCAATGGGGGGGGTGCAGCCGTCTGAGGAAGCTTCAATTGCAAAACTAAGTGAAGGACAAACCTGGAAAATGACAAGATTATTAGCAAAGAATGATCTAATTATGAGTTGTCCTTAAAACGGAGGATCAAGTCTCTTCCAGGTTACACCTGCTGGCAGAAAGCAAACTGTCAAAATTTATAGAGGAGCAGAAAGAGCTTCAAATGTCTTTTATCAAGTCCAATTCAGTGACTTCAAGAGCTTCACCAAATTTTGTGTCAGAATTTCATGATCTGGGGCCCAATCACTTCTCACAAGGAGAGTTCACATATTGGATATAAAATAAAATAAATTGGATATAAAATAAAATAAAAATAAAATATATTTTAAATCGTTTTTTAATTGGGTTACTGATTTTAATTTGGTATTGTATTGTGATTTGTATTGAAGTTGTCATTTTGTAAGCCGCCTTGAGTCCCTAGGGAGAAAGGCGGCATATAAATCGCAATAAATAAATAAATATTTATATAGTTGTAAGGTAAGAAAGCAATGCAAGCCACATTTCAGAGATCGTCTGGCATATTAAGTCGTGTTTTGAAGAGGGAAACGCTTGAAATACACTTCTCTCACGCATCTATATTTTAAATGGCGTTGCCTTTCATTTCAGGAGCGTTGATGATCCTTTGATCCCACTGAAATCAATTTACAAATTTTAGTGACTTCTTTCTGTTTGGTTTAGTTGAGATTACTGTGAGTCTTTTGGATCTATTACGCCATTCAGAGAGGTTTTACTTAAATTATATTTGAACGGCTCAACGATCAGCTAGCATCATTCTTGCATCAGGACTACTCAGTTGAAATGACTTCGTAGCTTTTGAATCACAGATTGTCTGGTTTTTGGAGGCTGAAAATGCTTCTGCTGGCCCATACCTGAAACTTAGAAGTTTCTTCATTTGGGTTTTCCGTTCATGATATTAAAATAAAATTTTTCCTGTGGTTCATCTTCTACCATCGTTGTCCCCGGAACTGCTCACAAGGCATTTCAGAAGAAGATGGACACCAGATCTCTGGGTTGGAAATCAACAACAGTGCAAGTAAAGATGTTGTGGGCACTCGGTCAATGGATGTTGAGGAACCTGGTAGGAATAAATGTTTTGTTTTCTCTCTGTTGCAAACTTTTACTGGTGAGGAGGAACCCTTAAATTGGTATTTATGGGAGAGAAACCAGGAAGCTTGAGGTCTTCTCCGAAACAAAGTTGTTCAGCAGGTAAAATATATTTCTTTTTCCTTTGATGAAACTGGTTATCATTTTCCCGCACCTTACTAACAAGAGTAACGAAGACGACACCTAATATCTCTAGCACAGTGTTTCTCAACCTTCCTTGGTCACGTTAAGCTCTGTGAACTTCAACTCCCAGAATTCCCCAGCCAGTTTAGCTGACCTCTAGGAAGAAAGAAGGAGGGAAGGGAATGACCTTGGATTAGCAATTTCATAAAGATAGGGAGGACAGAACATAAACCCTTGAACCAGTGTTCCTCAACCTCAGCACCAGGGGTGAAATGCTACCAGTTCGCTCTGGTTCTGGCGAACTGGTAGTGATTAAAAAAAGCTACCGGAACCATATTTCCGACAATCAGATGTGCCGCGGGGTTTAACTTTGCTAGAAAGCAGGAAAGCAGGAAAGCGGTTGTGAAACATTGCCTTAAGCTTCGATGTACACCCATTGCTGCTTGGTCATGTAGGATGTTAGCACCCACCCATCTCATAGAACAGTGATGGCTAACCGTTTTGCGGTTTTGCCAAAAGCACGGGGAATGTGGGTGGGTCACATGCGTACGCGTGCCCACACCCATAATTCAATGCGCCCCGCCCCTGTGCATGCACGCGCTTGCCCCTCTGCGCTCTCCCTGCTTTTAGCATGTGATGGCATGGTGGGCCTGGTAGGCCCATTTTTTGCCCTTTCCAGGCTCCAGAGGCTTTGTTGGAGCCTGGGGAGGGCAAAAACGGCCTTCCCCACCCTGCCCCGGAGACCCTCTGGAGGCTGGAAACAGCCATTTCCTGACTTCTGGTGGGACCAGAAGGCCCATTCTTCACCCTCCCCAGGCTCCAGAGGCTTTCTAGGAGCCTGGGGAGGGTGAAAACGGCCTTCCTCAGCCCTCTGGAGGCCAGAAATGGCTGATTTCCCAACTTTAAGTGGGCCCAGTAGGCCAATTTTTCGCCCTTCCCAGACTCCAGAGGCTTTCTTGGAGCCCGGGGAGGGCAAAAAGGGCCTTCCCAGCCCCCTGGGGGCCCTCCGGAGGCCGGAAATAGCACGTTTGCTGACTTATGGTGGGCCCAGAAGGCCCGAAAATCAGCTGGACTAGAAAATTCAGCTGGAGCTGAACTAGGGCAATGCTCGCGTGCCCACAGATTATGGCTCCGTGTGCCACCTGTGGCACGCGTGCCATAGGTTCACCATCACGGTCCTAGAATAATGAAATATTCTAGGAAATATTAAAAAGGCAGAATATTATATTTCCCTGGATGAGAAATGGAGAAACATGTTTTTTAGGTAGGAAGCCAACTCAGTCTTAATAGCCCCCACCCTCCTCAATAGCCCACGGCAGATGCCAGCACTTAAGAGATAAAGAGATAGCTAGGTCTATTCATAGGCAAAAGCCCTCACCCAAGATCCAACAAAGATAGGATTAGCCCTCTACCCATCTAGCAACAGAACTCATCACGTGGCACCTGAGAAGATTACATCACCCAGCAAGGCTCAACCAAGCCTGGGACTCAAAAGACAACCTACAAAGTTGCCCCTGCATGGCCCCATGGGAGTCTGACAACCATTCAGAATACAAGCTCAAATTCAAAGCCCAACAGAGGGTATAAATCTCTCTCTCTCACACACACACCCATGTGCCTTTTTGCCCAGCACCTCAAAACCCTGTGGTCCTGTCCACCATTAAACCATCTTTTCAAGCAGTCTCCATGTTTCCAGTGTCTTTCTCCCCACTTGGAATTGAACCCAGATGGACATTTCTTCCAACAGTCCATGAAACGCTGAAAAATCCGCGTCGTTGGATTGAGATCTACAAGGTTTCCACCATTGCTGGGTCTAACCCAATCCCTGATGTCTTCCATGAATGTTCTTTTCTCCAAAGAGAGAAAATTAACCTTCTCGTGTTCGGTCTCAAAGCTTACGAGGCAGGTGGGTTCTCTTTGAGGTTCTGCAAGAAGAAAATCAGGGGTCCGGATGTGAATTACAAGAAATAAAACAAAACCTTGAAGTCTCTACGAGGTCTCTGAAGTCAAAGGAAACATTTCTTATTCTTGTGGAGGGAAATAACCAGTCATTTGGTTCCATTCTTCAAGGAGGTAAGCAAGTTGTGGTCGAACGCTCTCTTTGTTTTTGTAAATCGCTGCACACATAAAGGGAGACCACATCTAAAGCTTTGTTGTGTGAAAACTGGAACCCGGCTGTTTTCTCGAAGCCCGAAGAGCGTGACAGAACAGGGGAAGTGGAAAATTAGCGTAATATCAGCCTTAAAGCTCATTTCTACGGCTTTTTCAGAAGGAAACCTGAGCTAACCATAGTTTCTTTTTCACTAGCTTTGCTTCGTAATAATGAAGCTGTCTGTGAAAAGTGTTTTTTTGAGGGGGGATGGGGTTTTAGTTTGCCGTTTGTTTTTATTATTTGATTTTTACCTCAGGCCCTTCCAGACATTCAAATGACGAATCGTGAAAGTGTTTCCCAAAGTAAGAGTAGATCTGGTGGTTTCTTGGTAAGGTTTCACTTGATTGATTTTCAACTACCTTCCAACTCAAATCAGAGTTTGGCAAAATTAGCCCTATGGTTCAACCGCAGAAAAGCAAAAGGGAGTTTTTAAAAAAAATTATTAATTGTTGTTTGAAAGATGTAGCTGTGAAATAAATCATAGGAGGTCTTGTTAGTTAAATGGCATCATTCAAGGCTTGAGGCTGTGCCAACCATAATTATGAAATTCAGCAGTGTTTCTCAACCTTGGCTACTTCACGCCGTGTTGATTTCTACTCCCAGAATTCCCCAGCCAGCTATGAATTCTGGGAGTGGAAATCCACACAATTTAAACTTGCTGAGGTTGAGAAACACTTAATTTAAGGATTTATGTTCTCTTTCCCTGTAATCCAAGGTCATTGCCTCCTTTCTTTCTTCCTAGATTCAATTCACAAAGTGTTGAGGAAGACTCGTCACCTATTGTACCCCAAAATTGCTTTTTCCTCCCAAAAAAGAATAATTTTGTTTTGAGTTTTTGTTTCACATGTATAGAATTTTGAGGAGAGTGGTGTGGTGGCCTAGAGGTGGAGTTCTCGCCCCACAATCAGGAGGCTGAGTTTGATCCTCGGTAGAGGCAGATATTTCTCTCTCTGGGCACAATGAGTATATATATCTGCTGAATATAACTCAGCATTGGTGACAGGAAAGGCATCCGGCCAGTAAACACTGAGCTCCATTCTCTACCCCGCAAGGGATTATGGCGTCATTAAAAGAAGATGATGATATGGAATTGTGAGGACCCATCAAAGAGATTTCTGGCTTTCGTAGAAGAACTGAGGAGCCAAAGCTGAAGGAACATCTCAACTTAGTCTGTTCTCAGTAGAGGAACTATCACATTTAGAAGCATCTGAAAGCTCATCTGAGGGAAATAAC